TTCCCCCTTCCTACGAAAAGCAGGGAAGTTCGGGATGATCTTCTCATATATTATCGATAAATAAAATGGAAGACAATAATCTCGTATCAATTTTATGAAAATAATGAATGTCGTGTCTGATTGTTCTAGAGAAGTCACTGAATTTCATGAATCTTTTGCTCCACACACTTGACATGGAGTAACATCTAGGCTTTTTTGTTCCAATATCTTTCCCTTCACATCTCCTTTTTCAAAAGTGATATTAAAAAAGAAGCAAGCATGGAAAATAAACAATATTCTTTACTTTAAACTATTTATTTATGTGATTGGAAACAACAAAATACGAAATTCAAAAAATCTGTCACAGTTCTAATTTGAGTACACTCACAAGACAGCGATAGCAAGTGATTGAGTTCAATCGAGCACTGACCTGATAAAAACATGACATTTTGTGTTTGTATAAGCAAAGTTTACCCAAGCCATGGTAAAAAGATGGGTATGCACTCGAAGTAAAGAATATGTTGGCCCCCTCAGGAATGATCGTCTCTGCCCTCGTTAAACCACTCATTTCTTTGCAAAACCATGGAGTCTTGAGTCTAAACTGGAAAGAAAAACGCGGCACACAACCCAAATTCACCAAAAAAAAGGGTAAGAAAGTAGAAAAATAAGTCAGAAATTACTGGAAAACCATAAGCAACGGCAAGTTAAGCTAGGTGGCAAGGCAAGTAAGTGGAAAATAGAAAAAAATAAACAATTTTTTGTAGTCTAGAGAGAGGGGGGAGAGAGAAAGAGAGATGAAAAGGGGGGAAAAAAGCGTGCAAGGGCCAGCAGAAAAGGAAGAAAATTTAGGGGAAAAGTTGAGAAAATTGAGTAAAAGAGGGGGGCACACCACCCCAGTGGTGCCCTATTGGAGACTAAAACAATTAGAATTTCAACTCCAAAAACAGGCCGCTCCTCCACATGCTGGTGGAGCTCAAGTGCAAGATAGCACGTTTAAAAACACCGCTTTTACCCTTCCTTGTGTTTCTTCAAGAAAACTTGGTGCTACTTTTTGGGAATTGCAGCACTACAAGCTGCCACTTTCTAAAATGCACCAGGGTGTTAGTGTTCCACCGCCGCGCCTCCGCCGCCTCCACCACCAGCCTTACAAGGATAAGGGTAGTCTTGAACCACCTGATCCTTCACCTTGTTCACCTGACCAGGTAAAGATCAAAAAACTCCTTTTTATTCTTTAATCTTTTATAAAGTTAAAAGGATTCTTGAAAAAAAAAATGCTAATTTTAATATTTGAGTGTGCTTTAGATGCGTAATTTTGACCAAAGTTTTGTAATTTTTAGCGACTTATTTTCTGGGTTCTAGATTATCTAATTCTTTTTAGAAAAGGACAATTTGATTATTTTGATGGTCATGTATTGTGCAATTCAATTAGTGGTTCTTTTTGATCTAAATTACAATAGTTTTGTAAATATTTTCTATTTATTTATTGTTTTCAGTATATACTTGTCGTGCTTAGTCTGATCTCAAGGGCATAATTAAACTTCATAACATCTGTTTGCGTTAATCTTTTACTTCTGCTTATTGGATTTGTTGTTAATTTCTTTTCTCCTTACAAGTTGTCAGCACTTACCAGTGGTTTTCTGGATGTGAATATTTCATTATAGGATTACATTTCTACTGAGTTTGGATTAACTGTAATAAGCTCAAATATTCTAAGGTCATATTGCGTAGAGGGTGCAGTGAGAGGCGCGTAATTGTGGTTTAACTTTGTATATTGTCCCGTGTCGATGAGGATTCGTCAGATAATTTAACCGATGGGTGAATTTTCACTTACATTTTCTCTTTACAACTGATGACAGCCAGGAAGCGCTGGCAGTGTGAGGAGGCAAGTTGCTGCATCACTGATGCAACATCATCGATCAATTGAAAGGACTCATCGTGCTATACAACCTGTTTCACCGGCAAGTTATGGTAGTTCAATGGAGGTATTTCTTGGCCTTAGAATATCTTGTTTGCCTTAGAATATCTTGTTTTGATCATATTAGTTAATGGGGTTGCATGTGTTTCACAGGAAAGATCCTATCTTCATTGATGGAATCAGTCAAAATGACATGAACCTTGACTTCACTGAATAGCTTAGAATATGCATATAAGCTCATTTGGCATTACACTGAACTTTTCTGTGACTCTGAACGAAATATTTGGCTACCCACATAATTTCCTCATTAATCTATGTTTTCTTTAAGAAATAATTTCCAAAACGTTTATTCTATGACCTTGTTTGCCCATCTTCTGCAAAAATTGTTGTCATAATTTTTTAGGCATGTCTTATTTGTTTATTGTGCATTCATCTATCTTATTCTACGTTCAGCCATTTATATATATCCTAGTTGGTCTTGTAACTTTATTTACCTTAAGATACACAAGCCTAAAGATTTTAAAAAACAGAGAGAAATTGTGTTTGGTTGAAATATATATTTAATCAATCAATCTTTAGGAGCAACTGATGTAACATCTGAAAATTTCTCATATTGTATGGTTTCAATGTCCCATGTTGATGTTTTGTTTTTATGTCATTTGTTCTGTATTTTGATTGCGAAGGTTTTGATGATCATTAGTTCAAAAATTGGTGCTACCTTATGTAAATATCTCCTTAGTCATTGAAATTTATTAAACTAGGGGTTGACAAAATGTCTAAACCAATCCAAACCAAACCAAACCAAACCGCGTTTCGTTTGGTTCTACTGAAAAATTAATGGTTTTGGTTCTTTGAACCAAGAACCATTTGGTTCTAGTTCGGTTCTAGTTCTAGAATCGAGAATCAGAATTAGAACCAAACTTAATATTTAATTTTATTATTTATATATATTAATTAGTGTTGATCCTAATTTTGTATTAATTGAACACACCTCATTAATTGTGTACACCTTAATTTTGTATTTATTAAATCATTTCTCTCACTCCTTTTCAATTTACACAATGTGGCGTGACATTTCGTCACGTTCGTGGATAAGACTCTTTCAAGATTGAAAAATGAATTTGATCAGTCACTTAAAAAGCTTTTTAACTGTTTTTTTTTTACCTTGATTGATGGATGAATTATTTGTGTTCTAAACAAATAGAGGAAAATCCAATAAACATTCATGAAGTATTAAACAATTAATGGTTGCCTGGAAAAGTAGACTATAAAAGTTTTGCATAGTTCATCCTTTATTGTGGGGGTGTGTCGTGAAAACTGATGCAACTGATTTAGTGAGTCATTGATGTTACTTCTTAAACAATCTTTTGTACGAGAATAAAGACCAATTTGTGTATTCAAATTATGACTATATTTTGTTTGTTAGTTTGTACTTTTGTGATCTAGATAATTGGTAATTTGAACTTGTTGAATGTTTGATATATTTTTTTTATTTAAGTACATATTATTAACTTAAAGATATAGTATAAGTCCGAAAATTTAAGAAATGAAACAAGAACCAAACTAAAGCAGAATCGAGCGGTTCGGTTCGGTTCCATATCTTTTAAAAAAAAAAAACCATGAGTTCATGGTTCGATTCGATTCTCTTCGAACCAAAACTAAATATAACCACGTCCACACTTACATTAAACAATCTTTTTAGGATACAGGGTTCCTCCATCCAACTATTACAAATCTCAATTGGGATGTAAACACCTAAAAATTCTTTCAGTCGCATTTTCTCTCTGATTTTTCATCATATGCATGATTATTGTACTATAGTCCTTCTCTTTTCTTGTCCATGTACAATTCCATTTAAATCTGACAACTAAGATTCTGATATGGTACTCATTCACATTTCTTTTAGGCCATATTTGCCTATGTCTGCTGATGTATTATAATAAGAAAATGAGACAGGAACGATGAGGTTTCCGATAATCTTTTTCTGTTGTCATGGTTTCATATCGTCTCATCAAAGTATTCGGAACAAGACTCAATCTTGAATTTCTTTTCAGATCATTCATCTTTCGCTAAATTCATTTTAATAACAGTTTTTATCTAATGATTTCCATTGCAGATCACACCTTATAACCCTGCTGTTACCCCTACGAGCTCCATAGACTTGAAGGGAAGGTTCGGGGAGACAAGTCAGAGTTTGAAAACATCTACAGAACTGTTAAAAGTTTTGAATCGTATATGGACCCTGGAAGAACAACACGTGTCCAATATGTCACTTGTCAGGGCATTAAAAAAGGAGCTAGATAATGCTCGTTCCCGGATTAAAGAGTTGGTCAGAGAGCAGCAAACTGAACGACTAGAAATGGATGATTTGATGAAGCAGATTAAGGAGGATACAATCATTAGAAAGAACAAGGAGCAGGATCGAATCAATGCTGCTATTCTTTCTCTGAGGGAGGAACTGGAAAATGAACGGAAGTTGAGAAAGCGTTCCGAGAGTCTGCACAGAAAGTTAGCTCGGGAACTTTTTGAGGTGAAAACAACTCTTGCTAGCACTTCCAAAGAACTGGAGAAAGAAAAGAAATCAAGTAAGTTATTGGAAGATCTATGCGATGAGTTTGCATGGGGAATAAGAGATTATGAACAAGAATTGCATGGAGTGAGACAAAAATATGACAAGGACTGGACCGAAAGAGCCGATCAAGATCGTTTAATTCTTCACGTTTCTGAATCATGGCTTGATGAACGGATGCAGATGAAGCTAGAACCTGACAGCGCTTTAGGGGAAAAGAAGTTAATCGTGGAGAAATTGAGCTCGGAAATAGAGGCTTTTCTTCGGGCTAGAAGTGGTAACAAGACTAATGGTAATCTGGGTCAAAGGGATCCCAATATCCGTAGAAATTCTCTGGAATCCATTCCACTTAATGCGGCTGTTAGCGCTCCTCGAGATGAGGATGATGAAGATGACTCTGCAGGTAGTGATTCAAACTGTTTTGAGCTAGCAAAACCAAGTGAATCTAAACTAAAATCCCTAGAAAATGAATATGAGGAAAACCATTATGATGAAACGTTGAAGGAAAAGCCGGCAAAGACAAAAATTGGGTCGTCTGAAAGGACAAAAGGTCTTAGTCCATCCAGTTTGCAAGTGAAGTTTGAAGAACAGATGGCTCGGGCCTTGTCAGACCAGGTTGAAGATACTGAGCCAACCAAGATCAGACAAGGCAATCCTGTTGAAATAAGCATCTCGCAGAAGTCTGAAAAACGTGAGGCAGCAGAAGAGAATAGTTCTAGGAGAAAGAATAAATATGAAGGAGAAACTGAATTGAATTCAAACTACATGATTGACAATTTAATCAGAAATCACTATTTGTTGTCAGAAAGTGGGAAATTGCAACCTGATAATGATACTGGTCAGGCTTCCATTTGGAGGAGTCATGCTAGTCCGGTACGCCGATGGACGGCAACACTACCATCTCATGATCTTGGCATTTCTGAGTCATCTTTGAAATTGCCTCCAGACTCCAAGGAGCACACTTTAAAAGCGAAGCTCCTTGAAGCAAGGACAAGGGCTCAACGATCACGATCACGCCTGAAAGCTTCAATTATTCCTTCTAGAGTTGTATGATTTGCTCAGTTGAAACGAAAATCACATGTATGTCCTGTCATCTTGAGATATTGTTTCTTTGTGAATATTATCCCAGGTTATGTCCAAACCTGAATGCCAGTATATGATATTTTCTTCATACTCTAATTTGGGAGGCAATCCAGTATATCTACTGTACTGTTCCTGTCTAGTCGAACCATAAAACAATTTTTCGGAGGGAAACTATTCCATCTTAAATTTAGTATCCTTAATCTTTTGAGCCTGTTGCTGCTTATCCAAATTCAGCTTATAACTGGAAGAGTAGATTACATTTTTGCAGATAGTTGACATTGACTATCGAGATTAATTAACGGTGAAAAAGTTGAGTTGATTTCATCTCGATGAGCTTTAGGCATTAAGTACTTGGAACACAAGTTCCAGTCAACTTTGAATGCTTGGCCTTGACTTAATGCTTCATTATTACTGTGAAGACATTGAGAAAACAAAGGTGGCCTCTGTTTCCTTTGGGATCCCTTCTATGATTGAGATGGTTTGTTCATCTAGATCTATCACTGATGTGCAGAGGAGGGTGTAAGGTAATGGACCTGAAAAATAGGTAAAACAAGAAAAAACATAAATGTAAGTATTTGGAATACACTACACCAATGAACGAGATTTTTATTTTCTTTCTTCCTTGTTCACCTTGACAGACATACCATAAAAATCAAAATTTCCTTTTAAATTACCTGTCATGTAAATGGGATACTTGGCATCTTTGTTGTTTCCAAGGAGAGAAAGAAAATCACTTTTTGATCCCTTTGGAAGCAAAGCAGCTCTTTCCTCTCTACATGGTGAATTATCATCATGATACTTCATTGGTCAAAAATTCAAAATGCTTAAATTAGTTTGGCCAGCAAGGGTAGAAGTATTTTCCTAGTTTGAACAATGCATAAAATCATGGGAAAAACTGGGATCATCGAACAAAAGAATGAAAAGAAAGAAGCTCAACATCAGTATACAGACTGGAATTTTGCTGCTATCTGAAAATTGGGCAATGTGTAACCTGCCTGCTCAACGTGAAGATGAAGGTACATATTGGCATGGAAGAATGGCTCTGTCCTGACTTCGCGGATTGAATAACGATTTCTTGTTGCAGTTTCGACATTCAAATTCTTCGCGTTCTTACATCGATCATATTGTAACTATGTCCAACGGATACTTCTGGTGAATAAATCCTCTGAAGAGACATAATCCATGTTATATAAGAAATAGATAATAGATAACTTGAAGTCAGATCAAAATGATCAGAATACAGTGATAGATCAGAACCTACTTTTAAGGCATCATCTATGCTTTGCGCTTCAAGCAAGTCTCTGGAGACAGTTTCTAATTATGGCACCAGATACAATATCCTCAGTTGGAGGAACTGAATTCGGTGTGAATGCCTGAAGAAATTATGAACTTTAGCCTTCATTGTTTAGCCCTTGTAATGTTATTAAATGCTTCCTACAGTTTCAAAAGACCTAGAAACTCACCCTTACAACTAGCTTGTGAAGGCCAAGTGCTTTCATAAATGGTGTGGAACTCAAAATTAGTGAGGTTCCTCCATGGCATGGATAAGACGAAACTGAGGGTCCCGAGGCTAGCTTTCAAAACTATCTAGTCGTCACAGTTTCAAACCTCAGTTTGTGACAGCCCTATCCTAAGTAATTTTGCAGGGTCTTTGAAACCACTGAGTTATTAGACTATTGCAAAACCACATTAATGTAATTAGCAAGAAATCTAAAGAAGATATACCATTCCAAGACTATTGAACCCAAATGCACAACTTGGTAGCTCCCCTGCATGTGTAAGCAGTGAAAGACATCCCTTTTGATAGAATTCCCTTGGATCAAATAATTGCAATGTGAATGTAAACACTTAATTTCGTCAATTACTCAGAGTTTTCCTCATTAGATAGCTACAAAATTTAGCCATATTATTAGAATTGCGATTACGTGTGGCCAACTAGAGCAACATTTGCATCCTCATTGTGAGCTGCAATAACCATGGAATCACTAACAACAAGAATATCAGAACAATCATCATTGATATTATAATCATTCTTCGAATCTTCCACTGTTTTAGGAACAAATGGAAGATCTCCTTCCTGAAGTTGAGAAGCATTACCTGGAAATACAAAGGCTTTCAGAGTAATTACGTCAAACATATGTACTGAATTATTCATCACTGCAAACATGAATAAACTTTTGCTTCAAGAAATGGTGCACCGCTTCCATCAGCAGTTCCCAAGAGTTCATCCCAGTATTCAGTGAACTTTTTCATGTTAGTTATGGCAAGAGATTGTGAGAGTGGCTGTGATTTTGGTGTTTGAGCAATAGGGAGGAGTTGGTTTTGCAGAATAAGGTATGTAGCCAACCTACTTTTTATTTTTGGAGAACCTCTGGCCTATCAAGAATCCCATTTGATAAGCATTTTCACAGGGTCCAACTTCGAATATTTCCAGATTTTCACTTCGACATTGTTACTCTCCATATCAGCCTCTCTCTGAGCTTGGCTGGATGGAGGAGGGGGGTGGAGTGGGGAGGTCTGGAGGCTGATGAAGTTCTTTATTAGCACCTCATCTTCAATTATAGATACTTGGTTTTCCATGGATTAAACTCTACCTGGGTGTCGAGATGAGCGGTTCACGGGCCTTTTAGTCCAAACCAATGCCTTGGGCCGGTTATGCTTCAAAGGGCTGTAGTTAACTACTAGCCGTGTAAACACATACAGGGAGTGGAAATTTCACAAAATCAGGACTTTAAAGATTCAATTTCAAAAATCATATTGAAGGTTTCATTTTTCAAAAATCAGATATTTCATTTATAAATATTAATTATATCATTTTCATTCCAAACTCTAATCAATTTCATTCCAATTTTCCTCCTCCTTTCTTCTCTCTGTCACCCTCTCTTTTCAGTCTCTCTACTGACGCCACTCTCTTCCGTCTCCGCCAGTAGCCCAGCCTCCATGAGATGGCTCAGCCTGGTCCGACGACGTCGTGCGGTGCATCACTATGAGGGCACCGTTGTGAGTCACCGTCGCCGTGTATTTCTTCCTCTTCTCTATCGACGCCACTCTCCTTCCCCTATGTCGGTAGCCCAGCCTCCACGAGACGGCCCAACCTCGTCCGGTGACGTCGCAGCTGTGCATCGCTATAGGAGTACCACTGTGAGTCGCACAATGGCCCAGAGGTTCAGCGGTGCATCGCTGTGGATGCATCGTTGTGAGTCGCCGTATAGATCCGTTTTTCTTTTTCTTCTTTTTCTTTTCTTTTTTTTAAATTTTTGAGTGGTGTGGTGATTGTGGATGTGTACGGTACGGTTGTGGGAACAGATATCTCCAGTGGGTGCAACGATGATGTGCGGTAGTAGGTGCTTCTTTTTCTTTTTTAATTTTTGAGTGGTGTGTTGATTGTGGAGGTGTGCAGTGCGGTGCTGGTGGAGGTGTGCGGTGCAGTAATGGGAACAGAGATCTCCAATGGGTGAGGCGGGGATGCGCTGCTGTGGTATTGTAAGTGCGGTGGTTGGGTGAGTGGTGTGGTGCTATGTATGGTGGTAGCTGGAGTGGAGATGGTTGTGACGGGGGCTGTTGTTGTTTTTGTGGATTGGTGGTGATTGCGGTGGCATTATTGGTGGTGGTCGGCGACGATGATGAAGATGATGGTAAGGTTAAGGATTTTTTTTGGTTGTAGGATGGGGATGGTGGTGGAGGTTATGTGGTTTTAGTGGTGGTGGTCGTGGTGATGATGATATTTTTAGATGATGGTTTGCTGCCAAGAGGTGACGGTGGTGGTTCCGACAACAGGGTTTCGGTGGCCATGCTATTGGTAGCAGTGGTGAGGTGGTAGTTGTTTCGGTGGCCATGCTGTTGGTAACAGTGGTGAGATGGTAGTTACAAGTGTTGGTGGTGGTCACAGATTATTTGGTTGATTGCGACCATTAAATTGATTAATCTGTGACCGATAAATAATATTCGACCAATGAAAAGATAAATTGTGACAAGAAAATAATGTGTAACTTAAAAAAATGATAATTTGTAATTTGTGAGCTATAAATAAATTGTGATATTTCAATTTTTGATTTATGACCGATGAATAAATTGTGATCTATAAATTTTTTGAATTGTGACGTTAAAATAATTTGTGACCAATAAATAATATGTGACTTATTAATTTTATAATTTGTGA